TTTGGTTTTGAATTTTAAAAATCGATCAAATTTGGTTTGGTTTTGGTTTTAATTAAAAAATAACCGAAAAAACCGAACCAAACCGACTATAAATGTAGCTATTTATTTATTATTACACCTATATATATATATATATATATATATATATATATATATATATATATATATATATATATATATAAAGCTTCTAAAGTTTTATGGTATATATTAGTCATTTATATTTTTAGTCTAATTCTTTGCTATTATAATAATCTAATTCTTTGCCTTTACATTCTAGTTTGATTGATAGTTTTCTTTTGCTAAGTACAAGAATTTATTTCATGTTAAAAATAATCGACTTAAATTATTCATCACTATTTGATTCAATTATCATCAATATATCTTGGTAAATGATAGATTTCTCAAAGAGCAATTGATTTATAGTGTTACGTTGAAAATGTAGTCATCGAAATATGCGTTTGGTAGTGTATGTCTCATATTTAAGAAAAAACGCGATAAATAACTGAAAAAACGGAAAAATCGATAAAAACCGACAAAAACCGAATCGATAAAAACCCGACTTAATTCGTTTGGTTTGGTTTCAATATTTGAAAAAATGGGCTTACTTGGTTTGGTTTTTTTTTAGAAAAAAACAGACCCAAACCGAACCATGAACACTCTTACTTGTTGATTAGTTTCAAACCCAGGATCCCATAAAAAATTGAACCCACTTCACCAGTGAGTCGTGCGCTATGTTTAAGTCAAGTGGGTTCAATATTTTCATTATAATAATATATTTTCTCAAAAAAAAAAACTATATACATAATACAATTTTTTGACGAAACGAATTTATATAAAACCGCTTGATCCAATGTAGTGGCCATGTCTGTAACAGGTGGTAAGACCAAGTGGGTAGTGTAGCTCAGATGGCCAACCTTTCTAACCATGCGGTCCTGAAATAGAACGCGTGAAACTAATCACTACCTGTAAATGTGTAAGTAAATCAAATTAAAGCAAAGTTTCCATCCTAGAATAACTTTTATAAAATAGCCCAAGTCTTTATATGGTTAGCATCTACTTTAATTTTTGAGAATATAGCCACTTTTTCATCACATGCGGCAGATTAATATAGGTCATTGTTTATCAGGACACGATAAATTGACTTTATTTCTGTAAAATGCAACTTAAAACTAAAACAAGAAATTAAAGGACTTTAGCACACAAAAAATTTATCGTGATGACTCGATTCTCAAATAGTTTTTGCGAAAAGTAAATAAAACATTAGTGGGAGGACACGGTAAATTACCATGTGATAAGCCTAATAGCCAATTTGGTCTAAGTTTTTAAAATTAACTTATTTTGAGAAGTGTTTTTTTATCAAAAGTGTTTTTCTCAAAAGTACTTTTGGTGAGAAGCAGTTTGTGTTTGGCTAATTAATTTAAAAAGTATTTCTAAGCAACAATTAGTGTTTGGCCAAGTTTTTAAAAAGTATTTCTAAGTGTATTTTTCTCAAAAGTGCTTTTCAAAAAAATACTGTTGGAGAGAAGCTACCTTTTCTGCTTCTGCTTCTACTTTTCCTCAAAAGTATTTTTTCTTTCTTCCGAAAGCTTAGTCAAACACTTTAACTTAAAAAAAATACTTTTTTTAGTTTGGAGAAGCTTGGCCAAATATCCTATAAATCTAACTCCATCTTGAAACGATCCTCTAGCAACGCGTGTATTTGGGTTAAAGCAATCAATTCTCTATTCTGGGCATCTATTTTTAAGAAAATAAAATAAAATTAGGCAACTCTATTCTAGGCATCTATTAATAGCGAAGGAAGTTGATTTTAATTAATCAAAAGGGGAAGAAAAACAAAGTCAAAACAGATTAAGGGAGGAAAAAAACAAATAATTGCTCATCTCAACATTTCCACTTTGTGATGAGCCACATACCATAAATGGATGGTGGGGCCATCAAGATTTAGTAATTATTGGTCAAACAACACTAGATAAAGACAAAACACTTACCATAATCTCACTAGGATTTAAGTAATATATTTAGATACTGTAAAGTGTTTTTCTACTATAGTTTAATTTGTAATAATATCAAATACATGCTTATGAGAGGTATTTGTAAATTGTAATTAGCTTATAAGTAATATAGTTGTCCGAGCATTATTTTACTTTGTTATCCTTAATGTGAGCTTATATTAAAAATATAATTAAGTAAATTAAAGTATGAGTTTTCTAACGGCTTAAATTTTTAGTTGAGATGAAGATAATATAATATATTTTAACATGTTATTAGAACAGAGACAAAAATGCTAAGTACGAGTCTTACCGCTACTCATAAAATCTAGTTTCAAGAGAGAAGAAAACCATACCAACTAACAAATGAAGGAGCGTGATGAATACATAATTAAATAAATAAAATTATCATTTTTTAGGCTTTTCTCTCATAGCTTAAATCTTTGGATGTGTGACACACTTTAACAACTTAAATGGCATCTATTCCCTTCTTGTTTCCTTTCTCTATTTCATTTATTTTAATTTATTCTGTTTTTCTCTTCCTTCTGTTCTGGAAATATATTCATTTCTAAGCAATCAAATCCTAGATAACATCACATCCATCTCTCTCCTTTTCATTTCCCCTAAAAAAGGGGACTCTAGTGCCAAACAGGAAACTAAGTAAGTCATAATTACATCACAAAATAAAACAAAAAGGGAAATTCTTTTCATTCTGGTATAAGGAGTTTTAAGCCTTTGCTTTGTTTCAAATACTTTTATAAGTCTTTCTTTTTCTATAAAGGGTCCATACCATTCTCTTCTACTTAGATTGCTCTTTCTTCCTCTCTTCTCACCTTCCCCAAACTCTTTAAATTCACCACCTTTGATCACTCTTGAATCTCATTCCTCTAAGTTGAAATTAAAAACAATAGGAAAAAACAAGAAAAAATAATGGTTTGTTCCTCTCTTTTTGTGTCCTCTCTCTCTTTTTTTTTTTTTTTTTTTTTTTGGTTGACTAACAAATTTTGGCATATTTGTGTTGCAGGAAATAGATAGTCAAAGCCATCTAAGCACTTATTGGGATGGCTATGTAGATTGGAGAAATAGACCTGCACTTACCAATAGGCATGGTGGCTTACTTGCTGCCTCTTTTGTCCTAGGTAAAATAATTACAAACTCTTTAATTTTATCTCATTTCTTGGAAAAGTTTTACATGGGTTTATAAAAAGATCAAATTTTTGTGAAGATTTTCCTTCATTTGATTTTTGTCTAAATTTTTTTTTTTTTTGGAAATTTATTAGTTGTGGAGGTACTGGAGAACTTGGCATATTTGGCAAATGCAAGTAACTTGGTCATGTATTTGTCAGAATACATGCATTTCTCACCAACAACATCAGCAAATTCTGTGACCAATTTTATGGGCACAGCATTTCTACTAGCACTACTTGGTGGATTCTTATCTGATGCTTTATGCACAACTTATCACATCTATCTCATCAGTGCAGTCATCGAATTTCTGGTAATAATTCTTCCTTTTCTTGTTTCTTCCTCCTCTCTCTCTCTCTGTTTATCGTTACTTTACCTTTTTTGCGCCCCCTAGGCCCTAATCGTGGATAAATTCATCTGTGGATTCTCTAATCTAAAATATTAGTATTAAGTATTTTTGTTTCTTAATTACTTGATGTCCGATATCTACATTGGGATCGATTAATTAGAGGGTGTTTGGATTGGCTTTTAAGCTGGTCAAATAGCTTTTAAGCTCTTTTTAACTTTTTTCAGTGTTTGACAAAGTTAAAAACTGCTTAATAATTTATAAATTGCTTAAAACAAGCTAAAAGCAATAAGCTGTGCAACCCCAACTTATTGTTTTTTGTCTTAAAAGCTATTTCTGTTGAAAACATTTTTTTAAAAGCCAAACGGGCTCTAAATTTGGAGTAGCCTCGAAAAATCCTATATTGAAGGTAAGTGCTCCCTAACAAAGGCGACTTGACAAATTTTAGAACCTCTAATTAAGGATGAATAAGTATTTACTACTCTACCACACCCGTATATCTTTACGTATTCAACAGTTAGAATATTGAGATAATCTAATTAAGCTTACCTTAATTTATGTCAAGGAACTGAAGAGTAAGCACGAGGGTTATAATTTGGCTAGACGTAAAATCAGTAAAAAGCAATGGCAATTGTAGGCAGTCCTGATCCTGAATGAAAGAAAATTGGGAAATGTGAATAAAGCCAATAACAACGCCCCGCTTTTTGATGCACCCTCAATTTTTTATTTTGGTTTACAGTTAGGGGTAATTTTAATCTTCAGTATTATTTCTTTTACTAGCTTATTGAACGATAAAAATGATGGTACGTCAAGAAAAATGAAAGGTCAAATCACTTTATTAAAGTATAGAGAATTGATTTACTCCTAATGTTCTTTAATTTTTACACCGTCTCTTTCTTTTTCCTCTTTTTACCCTTTCACATTTTACCCCTTTTTTGTGCTGAATGAAGACATTTCATTAGTAGTTTGAAGTTTGAACTAAAAAACTTCAACATACTAAAATTTGCATATTCATCGGATACTTATAATCAATCTTCTATCAGCACAAGATAAGTAACTATGCACACACAAACTTGAATAAACAGAAAGAAATTACTTAGAATTTTTTCGGCATTTGAACACCCATATCTAGAATCTTTTTTTTACTTCAATGACCACTAGACCGCACCCTGGAATATCGCCTAATAGTAATGTTTTTGTCTTTAGGAGTGAAACTTCATAGGAACAAATTAAAGATATGCTTAGTGCGCTACTCATTCGGTAGTGTATAGTAGTGTTTAGGAAAAGGTATATAAACATAGTGAATATGATCGCTATTAAAATTCCACTAGTGCATGCAACTTACAAAGGTGATGCAATAAGCTGCTCGATTCCAGCTATAAAGTTTTGCAACCATGTATTAAAAGGAATTGGTTGCTTTCTTCTTTTAATTCCTTTTCTTTTTCTTTTTCCTCACAGGCCCATCCATCATACCAAAGAATAAACTTATTAACGAAGAAATTTGAAAGATATCTACCCCTTGATTTTTGCTGGTCACTGTTATTCTTTGAAAATAAATCCCATGACTAAGAAAAGAGACCACTTGTTTTTTTTGGGTTTTGTTTTTTTCTAATGATTTTATAACCCACTAAATGAAATCTTTATATGATTCCGATTTGGTGAAAAAAGTTCATGTGGCATCGTGAAAAACATTGTTGTAGTATGGAAAGCAATGGTCATGATAGTGGCTAAAGGTTTTGTATATTTGTCGCCTAATTATTACTCCCTCCGTTTCAATTTATGTGAACCTATTTCCTTTTTAGTTCGTGCCAAAAAGAATGACATCTTTCCCTATTTGGAAACAATTTACCTTTATGCAATGATTTATAGCCACATAAAATATATGTGCTTTATTTTACACCACAAGTTCAAAAGTCTTCTCTCTTTTCTTAAACTCCGTGCCCAGTCAAATGGGTTCACGTAAATTGAAACGGAGGGAGTAAGTTATAATCAAATTTAAGATACAAATTTTTTTAGTGGAATGATCATAAGAATCCACCCTTCCCCACACCATTCATGCAACGTATGTAGTTAGTATTTGCACTTATCATACGGATCCATGACTGAAAAAAGTAGTTCTAAAGTTTCTGTTGGCAAAGCGATGATGTGAGAATACTGTTTGTTGCATTAATGTTGTTTGTCTAGGGGGTAGACGACGAGTGTTTGCCTCAAATTTTATCCTGTCATAGCGTCCCAGAGTACATTTAATTTACTGTTGGTTCATGGAATATGCACAACATTGCACAAGCTGATACACTCTCGGCATGGCATTCTAATTTAATAATTAATTGTGTCAAGATCAGCTTTTGCACATCTCGGCTAATCTAAAATACTTATTATTATTTATCAGTACAGGTATTAGATAATTATGTCTATCAAGGCTTGGGAATATAGAAAAAAAGTCACATACTATTTTTGCATTTGCTAAAATTTGAACCTGAGACCTCATAATCCTCAACCCTCAACCCTAGTTATTAAATCTCTCGGCGTGGCATCTTAGGTTTTCACACTTGACACTACCCATTCTTTCCTACGTATACACATTTCGTGTTTCTTCTCTTGTTTCTTTGACTTTTGGTCTTGATCTTGTTTGTTGGACTATAGTTACTTACTATCAGTACTTCTATCATAATCTCTATTGCTACTTTGATTTTAGTTTTCTAAATATGTTGTCTTGCTATCAGTGCTTCTTTCGTTTTTTATTTAGCCGAGGATCTATCGAAAATGGTCTTTCTGTCCTCCAGGAAAGGGTAAGGCTGCGTACATCCTACTCTCCCCAGCCCCCTCTTGTGGGATTACACTGGGTTGTCGTCAACAATGAAATTCTGCCCCCGGTCCCCTTCATAAAATTCATAAAAAGGAAGAGATTTATTGATATATTTATTGGATCCATCGGGACTGACGGGGCTCGAACCCGCAGCTTCCGCCTTGACAGGCGGTGCTCTGACCAATTGAACTACAATCCCACGGAAATACGGGATCTAGTAGAAAATTTGATTCTTTTTTATCTCCGGATCGTATATTTCTGAAGTACAAAGGGGGTTATATCATCTCATGGCGGTTGTTGACGACGCCTGTTGCATCATCTTAGGTGTTAATGGTGGTAGGACCAACCCAAGTTTTGGATTAATTGTCTCTTTCTCTTTTGGGGGTGTTTTGCTTTGTGCCATACCCAATTTTGTTAACTATATGACGTGGATAGCAAGAACAAGAGATATCACAAATAATTAGTTGTGTTAAAGTCTAGGCCTGTTTAGCTTCTTTTATTTCTTTAAACTGTGAATAGCAGAGATGAAAAGGTTGAGGAAGAAAGATTTCGGTATAATTAAAACTCTAAACCTAATAGTGTGAGATGAAATTAAATTATGACCAGGTTCAGATTAAACTTAAATACCGCGGACCCCGCTATAGAGGGAGCTTAGTGCACCAGACTGCCCTTTATTTTTCAGCAAAGTCAAACCTCCGTGTAAAAAACAATTTTTGATAACTGAAAATCTTGCCAGAGCAAAAAAAAAAAAAATCAAATGCAGAATTACCGACAAAATAATACATATTTTTTGTTTTTTTAAAACTATTGTATTTTTCTTTCCAAAACGAGCTTTATAAGAATCAGCAAAACCAGATCAAAAGCCACCTTAGTATTCTTTGATCTAAATATTTTCAAGTTTTATGGTTAGGCGTAAGGAACACTAACGAAAATGGTGATAAAGATTAAATATATTTTACCAGGATGATGTAACAGGTGTGTGGTTGTTAGGAATGTGGCAGATCTATTGATTTCTTTAAATAGCCATAAACTTTCCATTAGGAAAGAGTATCCACAGGAAACATTCCATTTTTGTTAGGAAAAAGGGCACATGTCACTCACATCAGACTTATCACTACATTATTTTACACCAATACACCTACGTATTAAAATAGAAATGTGCACTAGAATAGTTTAGATTTGTTTGTAGGTCACCAAGCTATATGTCGAAGTGGCCACCATCAAAAGTTGCGGTGGGCGGTAAGTAGTAAGTACCCCTTTATTCTTATGCAGAGGTCTCGGATTTAAATCAGAAATATTGGTAGAAAGTACTTTACGTCTAAAGTGGAACTAAGGTGAAGTTCAAAATGGATCAAGGCAACAACCCAACATTGATTAGATGTTGCAGAACTATTCTTTTTTGCAAGTAGTTTGAAACAGAACTTCAAAAGATTCATTCATGCATCATTTCCACTGTTCTGACAAATATTTTGTTAGTTATTCCTGAATATTACAATAATAATTTTGCCTCAATCCCAAACAAATTGAGTGTGTTGTATAAATCCTCCATCTATCTCCATTTAAGCCCGCCTCAGTTCAATATTATTAAAGCTTAGTTTCTCTAAGACAAGAAATTTCTTACATTTTCTATTGACAAATAAGTAGAAGACAAAGGCTAAAAGATTTCTAGCGTACAAATGACCTAAGGATTTGAGTGAACCATCAACCATCTCAATTGACACTAAAACTTTTTATAACTGTGGTTGACGACCATAGTACGCGCACCTCGACTAATTCCACGGGTTACGTGCTACCTCCCACTAGGAACAAGTATCAGGTAACTCTGGGTACTAGGTAACTATGTCCACCGAGGCTTGGACAATATGGGAAGAAATCACCTACTGTTTTCGTCTCGATTGGGATTTGGTCCTCAACCCACTTTATTGACCATTAGGCCACACAATTGGGTACAAGTAACACTCTCATTTTGTGCGTCTTCTATGAAATGCGACCGTATTTAATCTTGCCTAATCATGTTAAACGGTATATTCATCTTAATATCCATATTTCTAGACAGATATATTGTGGATATGTTGGATTCTAGAGACTCAACATTCACTCCCATAGAACACTACTTATCCTACAATCATTCTGTATAACATGCCCTTAACTTTGGTAGGTTGTTTAAGATGAATCATAACAACACAGAATATTGTTTGTGAACATCTCCTGAAATTTTGAATGAAACAGGGACTGGTAGTACTCACCATACAGGCTCGTTCTGCGTCGTTGAAGCCACCAAAATGCGACCTAGGAGTTCCCAACGTGCCGTGTGAACAAGTTCATGGTGTACAAGCTGCAATGTTGTTCATAGGACTCTACTTAGCGGCATTAGGTGTAGGAGGTATAAAGGGATCGTTGCCACCCCATGGTGCAGAACAGTTTGATGAAGCAACCCCACAAGGAAGAAAGCAAAGATCAACTTTCTTCAATTACTTTGTGTTCTGCCTCTCCTTTGGAGCTCTCATTGCTGTCACATTTGTGGTCTGGATTGAAGACAATATGGGTTGGCAATGGGGATTTGGAATTGCAACTTTAGCTATACTTTTGTCAATCCCAATCTTCCTTTCTGGTTCACCATTCTATAGGAACAAAATACCAGGTGGAAGCCCTCTTACAACGATCAGCAAGGTATATAGTTTCATAAAAACTTCATCTAACCTAACTGAGTTTTATCTTTGCTCAGCAACTAATCTCATGTTATAATGCATAGGTTCTAATTGGAGCATTACTAAACTCTTGTGTATCAAGAAACTCAAGTACTGCTATAGCAAGTATGGCTTCAAGCCCTTCTCCTCCGATTCCAACTGGCAACGAAAGTGGCCAAAACAGCAAAGATGTCAAATCAATTGAGACTCCATCGACAAGTCTTAGCTTCCTTAATCGGGCTGTTTCAGACACACCAGCTTGCGGTGCATTAAAATGCTCAGTGCAACAAGTGGAAGAAGTCAAGATTGTGATAAAAATATTCCCAATTTTTGCCTGCACTATCATGCTCAACTGCTGCCTAGCTCAACTGAATACATTCTCAGTCCAGCAAGCAGCCACAATGAACACTAAATTAGGCTCCTTAAAAGTCCCCCCGGCCTCGCTCCCCATTTTCCCTGTAGTTTTCATCATGATCCTAGCACCAATTTACGACCACTTCATCATCCCATTCGCACGTAGAGTAACCAAAACGGAAATGGGCGTCTCTCACCTCCAACGCATTGGTGTCGGTTTGTTCCTCTCTATTATAGCTATGGCAGTTGCAGCCCTTGTTGAAATCAAGCGCAAAAGAGTAGTTACTGACTCAGGCCTCCTCGACTCTGCCAAGCCACTGCCCATAACTTTCTTCTGGATCGCGTTTCAGTACCTGTTTCTTGGATCAGCCGATCTTTTTGTTCTAGCTGGACTACTAGAATTCTGCTTCTCAGAAGCACCAGTGAGTATGAGATCATTGGCAACATCTCTAACATGGGCTTCTTTAGCCATAGGATACTACCTCAGCTCGGTGATAGTATCGATAGTAAATAGTGTGACAGGTATTTCAAAGCACAAAGCATGGCTCTCTGGTAGCAACTTGAATCACTACCGTTTGGAGAGGTTCTATTGGCTAATGTGCATACTCAGTGCATTAAACTTCATACACTACCTATTCTGGGCTACAAAATACAAATATAGATCACTAAGGTCTAGCAAGTAAAAGTTCGTAGTGGAAATGTATAGATGAAACTGCCTCAGTTTTAATGTATGGTCTTTCTAGACTTAATGTAAATATGTCTGATGAATTGCTGGATCTTGAAGTCTATGCAACAGGACTAAGCCAGCAAAAGAACCACAAGAATCTATCTGCGGAACCCAATCAAAAGAACTTTGAATTATCAACCATTATATAAAGAGGGAAACTGAATTTTTTCAAAATTAATACGGATATTCACATTTAATAATAACACTTACTTCAAGTTTAGGACACTCTTAAAATCTTCTTCTGGGATTAAAAAGAGATTTTGAAGTGAAGACGTTGGTAATTTCACCGCAATGGCAACTCCTCTTGAACAAACAACTAGTTTCTGACATTATACTCTCCTTTTCGGATCCAAATACAAAATTACCTATGAAAATTCAAAGAAATAAAATAGCAGTAACTGTATGATTTAAAGGACTGATAACTTAGAACTTGAAATAGTTGAAGAACCCTAATTTTTAGAGAGACCATATGATTTTGGGGGAAATATATAGTGTAATAAGGTTTAATTCAATTTGTGGGGTTTAAGAGGGTGTATGGATTTGCTTTTAAACCGGTCAAATCAGTTTTTAAGCTTTTTTTAGCTTTTTTCAGTGTTTGGCAAAATAAAAAATTACTTAAAATAAGTTAAAAAACTGCTTAAAACAAGCCAAAAGCAAGAAGCCGGGCAACCCAACATATTGCTTTTTGGCTTAAAAGTTATTTCTGCTGAGAAGCCATTTTTTTAAGCCAATCCAAACATGCTCTAAGTGGTTTTAAAAATAGTCGTGTAATGGGCCAGATTATGGGTGGGTGAGTTTAAATTAGGAGTAGATCTTTTATAAGAGGGAAACTACCAGTATGTCCATATACAAGACAAAGGTCCACATCTGCGGAAGAATCGTCGCACCTGCGATAGCACAGAAGCGCCCAAACCAACCGCAAAAGCGGAAACATGCGCATCTGCCATCACTAAGCTGCAGAAGATACCATCGCACCTGCGTGCCTAAATCCGCAGAAGCGAATCTCCTGACAGGCCTTGACGTCACAAAAGCGACACAAAATGCGTAGAAGCGGCCCCGCAACTGCGCTTCAAAATGCACAGGTGCGGTGCACCAGAAACAGACCTGACCAAAATCATGCAAACCATCTGAAACTCGTCCAAAACACACCCGGGGCCCCCGGACCCCGTCCAAATATACCAACAAGTTCCATAACATAAGGCGGACCTGCTTGAGGCCCCAAATCACATCGAACAACATCAAAACTACGAATCGCACCAGAAACCGAACTTAATGAACTTATGAACTTTCAACTTCTACAACTCGCGCTGAAACATATCAAATCAACCCGGAATGATATCAAATTTTCATACAAGTCCCAAATGACATAACGGAGCTATTCCAACTCTCGGAATCGAAGTCTAAACCCGATATTAATAAAGTCAACTCCCGGTCAACCTCCGAACCTTTCAACTTTCCCATATTTTTGCCAAAATACGCCAAATCTACCTATGAACCTCCAAATCCATATCCGAACATACTCCTAAGTTCAAAATCACTATACGGAGCTATTGGAATAATCCAAATTCCATTTCGGTGTCGTCTATATAAAATTCAAGCTCCGGTCAACTCTTACCGCTTATACTTCAAAAACAAGAATCACCCGTTCTAAACCAACCCCGAAGCATCAGAGAACCGAACTCCACCACACACGCTAGTCATAATACTCAATACGAAGCTACTCAATACCTTAAGCCACTGAACGGGACGCGAATTCTCAAAACAACCGGTCGGATCGTTATATCATCATTACCAAAAATGTCTCTGGCCAAAAAAGAGTTATTGAGAAGTTTCTATCTTTGTCTTGTGGCATGTATTGGACAAAAATTAGTGCAATTGGGGTACATTCTATCGTAAACTAAAAGGTTATTGATTCCAATACTTTTGTACTTTGACATGATCGATTGGAACATCCTGGATCAATTATGATGAGACGGATTATAGAAAATTCAAATGGGCATCCATTAAAAAATTTAATGATTCTTTTAAATGATGAATTTTCTTGCACTTCTTGTTATCAAGTCAAGTTAATTATTAGACCATTACCAACAAAGGTAGGGATTGAGTCCTTTGCATTTTTTGAACGTATACAAGGGGATATTTGTGTACCTATTCACCCACCTAGTGGGTCGTTTAGATATTTTATAGTCTTAATAGATGCATCCTCTAGATGGTCTCATGTGTGCCGATTGTCATCTCGTAATCTGGCGTTTGCAAAATTAATGGCAAAAATAATTTAATTACGGGCACAATTACTCGATAATCTTATTAAGTCTATTAGACTTGATAATGCTGCTGAGTTTTCATCCCAAGCATTTAATGATTATTGCTTATCAATTGGGATAAAAGTGGAACATCCTGTAGCTCATGTTCGCACTCAAAATGGCCTTACAGAGTCATTGCTTAAATGTTTGCTATTGATAGCAAGACCGTTACTCATGAAAACGAGGTTACCCAGTTCTGTTTAGAGTCATGACATTTTGCATACAGCAATGCTAGTTCGTCTCAAACCGACAAATCATCATAAGTATTCCCCATTGCAATTAGTTTTGGGTCATGAACCTAATATGTCCCATTTAAGAATTTTTGGGTGCATAGTATATGTGCCAGTAGCACAGCCATATCGCACCAAGATGGGTCCCCAAAGAAGGTTAGGAATATATGTTGGGTTTGAATCGCCTTCCATTATTTGCTACCTCGAAACATTAACGGGAGATTTGTTCACTGCTCGATTTGCAGATTGTCGATTCGATGAGGCATTTTCCAAAAAATTAGGGGGAGAAAATGGTAAAACCAAACGAGAAATTTTGTGAAAAAATCCATCATTGTCTCATCTTGTTCCACATGTCTTTAATTGTGAAAAGGAGGTGCAAAAGATTATTCATTTGCATAAAATAGGCAATCAAATGCTAGACGCATTTACGGATTTGAAAAGGATAACAAAATTACATATCCCTGCAGAGAATGTTCCAACTGTATTGATGTCCCTGTTGGTCAATCTTCTAGTGTCATAGCTAATGAATCAAAATCACGCCTAAAGCATGGCAGACCATTGGGTTCTAAGTCCTAGAAAATGAAAAATAAATGATCAAGATGATACTACGAAAGAGTCTCGTGAAGAAATCCATGAGTTAACCAATCCTGAGATTTATGAGGAAATCACTGAGCCTGAGACTCAAGAAAATAAGGAACTATCAACAAAGCCAACTGATATTGAGACAAATTTGAATCGATCTGATATATAGTGGTGGATTATGTCTTTGCATATAATGTTGCATCTAGCATTATGAAAGAGGGTGAGGATCTTGATCCTCAATCCGTTGGAGAATATAGAGAAAGACGTGATTGGCTAAAATGGCAAGAAGCAATCCAATCTGAGTTGGGTTCACTTGCAAAACGTAAAGTTTTTGGGCCTGTAGTCCAAACACCTAATGGTGTTAAGCCTGTTGGCTATAAATAGGTCTTTTTACGCAAGAGAAATGAGAAAAATGATGTACAAAGATATAAGGCATGCCTTGTTGCACAAGGATTTTCATAAAGGCCTGGTGTCGACTATGAAGAGACATATTCACCTGTTGCGGATGCAATAATATTTCGTTATCTCATTAGTTTTGTTGTCCGTAAAAAGCTTGACATGCATTTAATGGATGTTGTTAGAGCTTACCTGTATGGCTCACTTGATAATGAGATATACATAAAAACTCCCGAAGGATTTAAAATGTCTGACACACATAATTCAAAGTCCCGAAAAAAGTTTTCAATCAAATTTTATAGATCATTGTATGGTCTAAAGCAATCAGGAAGAATATGGTATAACCGCCTTAGTGAGTATTTATTAAAGGAAGGTTATAAAAATTATGCCATTTGTCCATGTGTTTTTATAAAGAAAACAACATCGAAATTCGTTGTACTTGCCGTATATGTCACACCTCCTTTTTCCCGAGGGGATAGGGAGTTTTTCCAATTAAAGTGACATTAATCGAAATGAGATTATTTATTTAATTTTTGAGTCGCCACTTGGAATAATTTATGGTGTCCCAAGTCACCGGTTTATTTTAAATCCCAAATCGAGGAAATTTGACTCTGTTTTAAAGTTTGCGAACAGAGAAGACCGGGTAAGGAATTCTATTAACCCGAGAGAAGGTGTAAGGCACTATCGAGTTTCGTGGTTTTAGCACGGTCGCTCAACTATTAATAATTGGCCTAATTATCTGATTTAATACATATTTGAAACCTATTGTACATTTTTATTTTTTAAAATTCGTTTAGTTAATTATTTAGCCACCTTTAGTATTTATGGAATTTGTTTTAACAAGTCGTGATATCGCGCACTCGTTTATTTTTTCACACATTGCGAATCGCGACGCACCCGCGATTTTTAACATGTTTATTTTATTATTATTCAAAGTTATGGTCAAGTCACGTGAAACGCGCACTTGATTTGGGATTTATGTATCGTGACCATGCCACGGGAACCGTACCCATAGCCACGATGATTTATTATTGATCGCGCCTAAAGCAAACTACGATGTTCATGATTTTCCTAAAACTAGTTTGAGATTAATGTAAGGCCATGATTTATGAAATTATTTAGATAAATGGGTCAACTTTTAAATCTCTAGGTATCATTGGGTTGGCTAAGAATGATTTACTCTCCTATTGGGCTTGCAAAATTTCGAATTTGTTAGGGCCCAGAATTATTCAAAAGTCCAAGCCAATTCTTATTATGAAAAACGAATTCCGGCAGTCCACTAAAGACTCTAAAACAATCCAATGATTTGCCAATTTAATTCATCTAATAATTAAAAGCATTTATTCATGAACCAAGCCTACACATATCACAATCGAAATAAAAATTAATTAAAATAACTTAGATGAAAGCTAAGACATGCTACTCAAACAACGGAGAATCACAAATCAACCGACCGACACGCTCACCAAGCTAAAGAAACAAAATGAAATAAGAATGAAAATTGAGAAATGGACCTTTTATTGATGAACAAAGCTGAA